TATACACACACACACACACACAATTATAGAGTAAGCGTGTTTTAAAAATTTGAAGTTTTTAAAAGAAGCCATTTTCGGTTTCGTTTTGGTTTTCGGCCAAATGCATCCTAAATTTTCAGTTTCGGCCCAAAATTTTCATTTTGGTGCATCACTACTTGAAACTAATGAAAGTGGAATCACGTCATCACAGCTTGACTATAGAAGTATTTCATGGTCAGGTCATCAGTGACCTGCATGAGGTCTATCGCAGCAAAAATCTATATCCATCCAGTTTCTAGAGAGGAAAAAGTTGAAGTAGATTGTTTTTGATCATTTTTTACTTCTGGGATAGAGATTTTGATTGGTGGTAATGAAGTGTTTGTGTGGATGCTCCTGTTGTCTTGAATTCCACCACCAATGCAGTGCTCATCCCGGTAGTGAACACACATACCTTCATTAGCGTCTTCTGCTCTTATTGATGTAGGCCAAAGTCCTATGTTCTGTTCATTTGCATTAGAACAGGGGTTCTCAACCTTTTGCAACTTAAGGCCCACTTTTACAGGTACCACTTTTACAAATAAATGAGAAAAAAATCAAATTCATTGTATGTATTTAATGCATTCAGGGGTCATATTTACTCCCCGCATGCTTTGGGGCCTTAATGGGTGCAGGGTTGTTTCCCACATCCCTTTTTTTTTTCTTTTCAAAAACCAATTTGTTTTCTGTAACTGCATCCAGGGAAACATTGACTGCTAGCTAACAGTGGTAAAACACAGTCACTTTATGATTATGTGTTGAGTCCTGTCATAATTTTTTGTGGCATATGCCCAGGGCCGAGTAGTGTGTGTTCCATAGAACACCAGAAACTGCTGGGTCCTGAAGTCTGTTCATTGCTTAGCAACAGTTCGTGTTGTTTTGGTGAATGAGGAGTCCTTGCTCCCTCAGACCCTCGTGGAAGATGACTGCCTGTTGGCAGGTGCCTGGGTGTTTTGGGCAGCTCTGGTTAGGTTCTTCCCAGTCTGGCTTGGTGTTGGATAGGCTGTGTGGATCTAGACTATTGGACTTTTACTAGATAGAGTTGTCTGGTTTGGTGGATAGACTGGTATTGAATAAGTAGTGCTCTGAGCCCTTGTGTTGTTCCACAGTTATCCTGTAAACACGGAGTTTGGCTGAAGGCATGCCAAAACACTAGGAAAGCAGCTCAAGCTCAGATAGAAGCTTCTCTTATTTGATGTTTAGTAAGACCTCATTTGAAAATATGTGATAATTGTCATTTCAAATGTCTGTCAGTCATGGCTGGGACATAAAGGTGCGAGTTTCAGCAAGAGCAGCACATCTCCTTTTTCTTTGTAAATATTTATGCTGCCAAATGCTGTCAACAACATGAAGTGTGTTGGCCACTGTATCCCCATGCTTTTATAGTATATCCACTGTGTGTGAAAGAGTGCACCCCTAAGTATATTTTTCCCTGACTTCAAGCCTCGGTGGATGAGAGCTCGTCCAGTGCCTCCTGCTCCGCAGAGCTGCAGACTCCCAGCACCCAGCCTCAGACCCGCCTCAGCAGGGCAGCAGGACAGCAAGGACGCACAGATACACAGCAGACCCAGCATGCGCAGACAAGACTGAGCCGCTCAAGACAGGTTAGCACCATGCATGAAGCGAAGCCACCTACTCTTCAATGGAAATTCTAACATGCTCATTAGTCAAAAGGCTTGAGAGCAGTTCCATAGCGTCATTCACTCCATACTGTTCCACACTGTTTATTTTGCAAATGTGAACTTTGTGGAACTTTAGTTTTTTTCATTAGCCATGACTCCTATTCATGACATGTGTTTGAACTTGATCTGTAGAGGGACAGTGCAGCTTAATATACTGACTTGATGTTGTCTGTGTACATTGGTCCATCCCGCTATTTGTGTTGCTACAGTCAGGGAGGCAGAGGAAGAAAGCAGTCATGATGCCTCGTGTTGTTCTCACCCCTCTTAAAGTGAACGGAGAACATGTCCCCTCAGGTAAGAACCACTCTTTTGTCCAGACACTTACTTCATTGATAACACAGCAGTAATGAAAGCCAGTGAAAGTGTTTTTCAATCTTTTCACCAATTATCTGAAGGTCCCACCAACAGAATTTAAGCTACACAACATCCTGTGCACCATAAAGTCAGGTCTATAAGTATTTGGACAAGGATACAATTTGTGTAATTTTGCCTCTGTACACCACCACAGTGGATTTGAAATCCAGTATATTATTGAAGTGTAGACTTTCATCTTTAATTCCAGGGGTTTCCAAAATTATTGTATTAATTCTCAAAGAATTACAGCAGTGTTTATACAAATCTCCCCATTTTCAGAGGCTAAAGAGTAAATGGTAAGTGGTCTTATACTTGTATCATACTTTTCTCTGCATTGCACACTCAAAGCACTTTCACACTATTTGCCCATTCACACTCCAAAGCACTCACACACCGGTGATGTCACCGGGAGCAACTTTTTGGGTTCAGTGTATTGCTCAAGGACACTTTGACATGTGGAATAGAGAAGCTTGGAATCGAACCGCCAACCTTCTGGTTAGGAGATGACACGCTTGACCTCCTGAACCACAGTGACCCCAAGTAACTGGACAGTTGACTGATAAACAGTTTCATGACCAGGTGTGGTGTGTTCCCCATTATTTCATGACAAATTTAGCTGATAAATTGTCCATAATTGATCTATCGGAGCCCTCTCTCTGATTTGATAGGGGGTGCAGAAATCTTAGTGGCTGAATCAACAATCTAGTATATTCTCAAAAAAGAGAAATACACTAGTGAGCTCAGCAACAACACCAAAAGTCCCAGAAGGCTACAAAATTAAGATTAACTAGTATCAGAATCTGAATCAGCGTTATGGGCCAAATAAATTTAAACTAGGGATCTCCACCATGTAGCTCACTCCCTGATTCTAAGTAGCTCGCCTAAAGGTTCAGAGAATAGACAGGAGGCTATGTAGCTTACAATATACGCATGATAAAAATGTTGCACAACAAAACTTTGCTCAGTAAACCTGCTCAAATTACAGTCAATCAAATACAGAGATGTCTGTCCTTCTTTGACAAATTGTCAATCGGTTGAGTTACACTGCTGTCAGGTTTGTTTTTCGTGTACACCGTTCAGTGATGTAACCGACTCTTTTGGTTAATGTGTTGAAACGTTAAAAGTCTACACTTAAATGAAATTACTAACTTTACTGTATAAGTCAGCAGGCATGTTGCCATGGATTCAGTTAGTTGTGCTTTGGCCTGCAGCATGTTTAGGCAACATTTTAGTAAATTAAGTAACACTACACCAAATTCTCTGCTTTTAGTCAGTCCCCTGAATGACAGTTGTCTTATTGGAATACAAATGTCAGTATTCTTGTACAAGAGTTGCTTTTGAAATATTGAATAAGTGTCTCTGTTGCATTAGTGCATTCTAGATGCGAGATTGTTGTTGTGCAGAGTTTTGCAAATGTGAACTCAGTAGGTTAATAAAATCTGTAGGTTGACTAACCATAAATGTAGTCATTACAGCATTGCAACCTGTTTAACAATTAATTGTTTTCAAATGAAAATAAAAATTTAACAGAACACAATTTTCAGTTCATTAAAGTCAGTAGTTAAACTGCCATTAAAACGTACTGTAGTTTTAAACTCTACAGATGAGATGCCATCAGAGCAGCCTCCTCGCACATTGCCCTGTTCTGCAGGCTTCATATGAAACCTGCAGAGTAAATGAGTGAGTGGAACAAGAAAGAGATGCCAATAAATTTATCTTTGGTACTGCTAGCTGCACTGAAATATACCTGCATTTTCGTTCATTATTTAGTGGCCATTCCCACATTTCTAGTAGTCATTACTGCTCCTCTTCTGTAACTTCTAACTGCAAAGAGACAATTTGTTCGATAGTGTCCTGCAGCTCTTCTTGTAAAGTTATTTCTGATATCGGGTTATCGAAGATCGGTGCTATTTCAGTGGCCTGTGTTTCCTGTACACATTCTTGCTGTTCTTGTACACATTCTGGCTGGAAAGAGACAATTTGTTCAGTAGGCACCTGCAGCTCATTCTGTAAAGTCATTCTTGATGCCAGGTCATCAGAGGCTGGTGCCACTGTTGGGGGCCAGTGTTTTTTGTTTTTGTTTTGCTTTTTGGTTCTTCCCAGGACCTGTCTTTACAGGTTTTCCGACAAGTAGTGATGCTGAGGGTTGGGTTTTCTGCTGTTAAATTTTCTTTATATGATATTATATTTCATTTTATTTTTCTCTCTGGCTGTAGGCTAAAGTGTGAGATTAGAATTCAAACTGTACAGTACAACTGTAAATAAAGTTCTCCAGATCGGAGCTCACCACAGATTTTGAGTACTTTAGAAATTCTAATATACTGATTAATGAAACTACAAGAGATAACTAAGCTGTTCATCACCCTACTAAATAAACTCAGAGTAGCTTCCTTTTGACTACCTCTTATGCTGTAAAACTTGACTGATGTTTATACTGGACTCACTGGGAACTGTGTTTTTGATTCTTCTTTCTTTACATACAGTGCCTTGCAAAAGTATTCGGCCCCCTTGAACTTTGTGACCTTTTGCCACATTTCAGGCTTCAAACATAAAGATATAAAACTGTAATTTTTTGTGAAGAATCAACAACAAGTGGGACACAATCATGAAGTGGAACGAAATTTATTGGATATGTCAAACTTTTTTAACAAATAAAAAAACTGAAAAATTGGGCGTGCAAAATTATTCAGCCCCTTTACTTTCAGTGCAGCAAACTCTCTCCAGAAGTTCAGTGAGGATCTCTGAATGATCCAATGTTGACCTAAATGACTAATGATGATAAATAGAATCCACCTGTGTGTAATCAAGTCTCCGTATAAATGCACCTGCACTGTGATAGTCTCAGAGGTCTGTTTAAAGCGCAGAGAGCATCATGAAGAACAAGGAACACACCAGGCAGGTCCGAGATACTGTTGTGGAGAAGTTTAAAGCCGGATTTGGATACAAAAAGATTTCCCAAGCTTTAAACATCTCAAGGAGCACTGTGCAAGTGATAATATTGAAATGGAAGGAGTATCAGACCACTGCAAATCTACCAAGACCTGGCCGTCCCTCTAAACTTTCAGCTCATACAAGGAGAAGACTGATCAGAGATGCAGCCAAGCGGCCCATGATCACTCTGGATGAACTGCAGAGATCTACAGCTGAGGTGGGAGACTCTGTCCATAGGACAACAATCAGTCGTATACTGCACAAATCTGGCCTTTATGGAAGAGTGGCAAGAAGAAAGCCATTTCTTAAAGATATCCATAAAAAGTGTTGTTTAAAGTTTGCCACAAGCCACCTGGGAGACACACCAAACATGTGGAAGAAGGTGCTCTGGTCAGATGAAACCAAAATCGAACTTTTTGGCAACAATGCAAAACGTTATGTTTGGCGTAAAAGCAACACAGCTCATCACCCTGAACACACCATCCCCACTGTCAAACATGGTGGTGGCAGCATCATGGTTTGGGCCTGCTTTTCTTCAGCAGGGACAGGGAAGATGGTTAAAATTGATGGGAAGATGGATGGAGCCAAATACAGGACCATTCTGGAAGGAAACCTGATGGAGTCTGCAACAGACCTGAGACTGGGACGGAGATTTGTCTTCCAACACGACAATGATCCAAAACATAAAGCAAAATCTACAATGGAATGGTTCACAAATAAACATATCCAGGTGTTAGAATGGCCAAGTCAAAGTCCAGACCTGAATCCAATCGAGCATCTGTGGACAGAACTGAAAACTGCTGTTCACAAATGCTCTCCATCCAACCTCACTGAGCTCGAGCTGTTTTGCAAGGAGGAATGGGCAAAAATTTCCGTCTCTCGATGTGCAAAACTGATAGAGACATGCCCCAAGCGACTTACAGCTGTAATCGCAGCAAAAGGTGGCGCTACAAAGTATTAACTTAAGGGGGCTGAATAATTTTGCACGCCCAATTTTTCAGTTTTTTTATTTGTTAAAAACGTTTGAAATATCCAATAAATTTCGTTCCACTTCATGATTGTGTCCCACTTGTTGTTGATTCTTCACAAAAAATTACAGTTTTATATCTTTATGTTTGAAGCCTGAAATGTGGCAAAAGGTCACAAAGTTCAAGGGGGCCGAATACTTTTGCAAGGCACTGTAGTTACTGCTACTACTGTAGGTGCTAAACTATATGAAACCATTTTTAAAAACTTGTTTTTTTGCCACATTTTAAACTGTTATTCATGTGAAGTGAGTCAGCAGCAGTCTCTGCTCTTTTCTCAGTGTTTAAGGATCAGTAACTTGGTGGCGGACAGAACCGATTTAGTTAGTGGAGAGAGACGGGTGAGAGAGGTAACAGCCTTTCAGAACCATATGCAAAAAGATGACAGAGCGTCTCTTTATCACTCAGATCTCACAGATTTCCCAAACTGTTTTAGTTTTACTTAGTAGGGTATTATGGTTTTTTTTTTCACCATTGTGGACAAAGTAAGTATTAAAAATGCATCCTGTATTGATCCAATATGGGACAATGAGACAGAGCATTTTATTTATAAGGTGGCAACGGTTTTGTTTCGTTTTGATTTGCTTTGTTTTTATGCAGGAAGACATTTGTGGTGTTGCCTTGCATTGTCGCTACCATAGCCAGGCATATTCAGCATGTTCTTGCAATGCATCCTCTGGTCTAAATCCAAAATAGGTCCAGAAGACCAATGTAGCCTACTGTTTCTTTGAAACTAATGTTAGAGTTGCCAACATTCAGTTTGCTGACTGCTGTAGCTATTTTCAGTGTGGCTTACAGCAGCAAAATGAAATATAGTGGTGTCTTTTTTTTTTTGTCCACTCATTCATTTACTCTGCGTTTCAGGTGAGGCCTGCAGAGAAAGGCAGTGTGTGTGCACCTGAAGCCTATGAGGATGCCACTAAGATTGTTTAGACTTTGTAGCATTCAAAATCAAATTTTAATGGCACTTTGAATTGCAGCTTTGGAAAGTTGCGTTCTATTAAATTGCTATTTCAGTTAGAAAATGATTTAATCGTTCATCCCTACTTTAGCATCAGGCTGACTGATTTGAACATGTGGTTTGAAACATGGGTTGGCAGGGCCCATGAAAAGGAGTCGAGGAGGGATGGATGTAGACTTTGAAACACCTGGCTCCATCCTGGTGAACACCAACATCAGAGCCCTCATCAACGTGCGTACCTTCTCATCCTTTCCCACACACTCGCAGCAGCAGCTGCTGCAGCTGCTACCGGAGGTGGACAGACAGGTATGTTTTTCTGTTTTTACAGTTTAGGCCCAGCATTTATGTCTGTGGTTGTTATGTACCTTTATGTATATAGTAACTAACCCAGCATTAAAGCAGGAAACAAAAAACTAATATGCACCACTGATTTACCTGGACATCATCTATGATGTGTGACTGACAATCTGACTTCAAATTGTTGGACAGTAGAAAAACGAAGCCTGTGCATTTTGTTAGATATATATTGTTGTTTTCAACTCTGTTTAAGGCTACTCAGTTGAACTAGTATGCAATTTAGAGCAGGTTGTGATGGCTTAATTGTTTTTTTTGTTTGTTTTTTTTATTTGCACTGAAAAAATTGTCATTATCAAAATTTAATGAAGCTCAGCTCAGTCACACACCATGAAACACAGGCCTTGTAGTGCAATTTTACTGTATAAGGCATAGACCACTTTGTCCTTCAGATGCATGCATTGTGTTCCCTCTCCTTGCAGACTGGACCTGATGGTATGGCCAGGTTAAGTAGTTCAGCTCTTAACAACGAGTTCTTCACACATGCCTCCCAGAGCTGGAAAGAAAGGTTGGCTGAGGGTAAGTTAATGTTCAGTCATGGTTAACCTGTCTCATTTCACTCAGACTTCTTAAAATGTCAAATCAGATGATGCCTGATGGGATTGTATTGATCACTGTGGGGAAGGAACTAGTGATAGCAGAAGCTAAAATTAACCAGAAAGTTGTAACAGAAGGTTAGGAAATTATAAATACCAGTAGTAAAATCCACACCAAACAGTTTACTGCATCCCAGTGAATTTAAAAGAAAGCTGCACAGTGCAGAGATACTTGACAGAAAACATTTGCGTGTGATCTTGGTGACTTAGCCCAGGGACCTGAATCAGAAATTTTTTTTTAATTGACTCTAGACCCATTTTCACAAAACGTTCTAAGCCCACAGACAAAATTCTAATAATTGTGACAGTTTCTAAGAATTTCCCCTTGAAGTTGAGGTCAAAGGTCAAAGTGTTTATTTGTCATATGCACAGTTAGGAAATGTGTTTCCCTATACAATGAAATTCTTACTTTGCCATCCACATGACTGCCACACAATACAAGTAAATTATAAAGTAGATGAGCAATAACACATCTAAATAGGCAGTAAGAAGCAAATAAAAATACAAGAACACAATATAATGCAGAAAATATATTTGCTACATCGAAGCCATGAAGTGGAAATAATCAGCAGTGAGTGTGCAATTATGCATGTGCAAAATGACTATGTAAACAGTACAGATGGAATTACATGAGGTAGATCCTGAGTCAGCTGTTTTAGGAGTCTGATGGCAGTCGGAAAGAGAGTTTTTCAGTCTAGAAGTCCTGCATTTCACACTTCTGAGCCTCCGACCGGAGGGTAGGGGTATGAACAGTCCATGCTGGGGGTGGGTGGGGTCCTTGAGGATGGAGGCAGCTTTCCTACACACTCTGCGGTGGTAGATGCTCTGCAGAGAGGGCAGTGCAGTCCTGGTGATTTTCCCTGCAGTCTTTACCACTCTCTGCAGGCACTTGTGGTCCATAGCAGTAGTGCTGCCAGACAGTGATGCAGCTAGTCAAGATCCTCTCAATGATGCAGCTGTAGAAGTTGCTGAGGATCCTAGGCGACATACCAAACCTCCTCAGCCTCTTCAGGAAGTACAGCCGCTGTTGGGCCTTCTTGACCAGCTGTGTGGTGTTAAGTGTCCAAGTGAGGTCCTCACTGATGTGGACATCCAGGTATTTGAAGCTGCTCACCCTCTCCATTTTGAGCCCCCGAATGAACAGTGGCTGATGAGTTCTTCTCTCCTTCCTCATGTCCACTATCATCTCCTTCGTCTTGTCCGTGTTGAGGCTGAGATTATTGTCCTTGCACCATGACACCAGACCGGCTTGTGGGAGATGACACAGTCATGGGTGAACATGGTGTAGAGGATAGGACTGAGGACATCCCTGTGGGGTGCCATTGTTCATGATAATGCTGGCTGAAGTCCTATTGCCAATCCTGACAGTCTGGGGCCTGCCAGTCAGAAAGTCCAGGAACCAGTCACAGAGGGTGGGGTGCAGACCCAGTGTGGACAGTTTGTGGGGGACAATGAAGTCAATGAAGAGTATGCTGATGTAAGAGTCTCCATTTTCCAGGTGTGAAAAGGAATAGTGGAGGGGAGGGGCGGTGGCGGCTGCGGGGGGCCCGCC